GAATTCCTCAACATTATTGTTCTAGCATTATCTCTTTCTAATGTGGAAGCCTTGTATTCTTCATTAAACCGTTTATTTACTGATCGTTTAACCTAGTAAAATACTTGAAACCCTAGTACTTCCTTTTGCTATTTTCTTGGCTGAGTTTTTTGTTCTTTCCTTATTTCATCTCAACTATTTGGCAAACAGTATTTGCCTCATCAGTTTGTAGTATGTCATTTAATTTATTTTTGTGTTGTTCTGCATCCTAAGAATATCTTAGTAGTTTATTATTTATTCTTTTGGCAGAAGTTTTTCTTTTTTACTGATAATATAAATATGAATTTTATTTTATTTTAGCAATGAAATATTCTGATATTCAGTTAGTGCTTCTTATGCTATATATGTCCATTATAAATGTTTTGGTTCTACCATCTACTATTACGTGAACTATCTGGATTCATGTTCTCCTATTTGGTGATATCAACGTTTGTTTGTGATTTTTTTATAAGAGAAAATCGTGCTACTTATCACCATATCTCGTGCCATAGCAAAGTTTATTAGTCTTGTACCATTACCATTCATATGTAATCTATGATTTCCTATCGTCGGCCTAAAGATTAATTTTTGACCTATTTTAGCATTAAAGTCTCCACATAATATTTTGACTATTATTTGGTATTAAATTACATACTGTTTCCAATTTTTCGTAGAATGAATTCTTTATATCCTCAGTGGCCCATAATCATAAATTATTACTTTGTTATACTGATTACACTTCAATTATAAATAACATATTCTATCATTAATTTCTTCAAAGAGTTGTACGTTAGATAGATGTTTGTTACAAATCCTACGTCTGTTTGATGATTCAGTCTCTATTATGAAATAAGATTTAATTAATTGAATTAGGTTTCCTTGTCCTTCATCTTATTTTTTAAATTGTAGCTAGATCCAGTTGATATTAGGACAGTTTCGAAAACACTGTCTTCAAATGACCAGCCCTATATAAACGATAATTTAATAAAATAGCATTTTCTAGGAAAATACTTTCACTAAAATTTCTTATATTTTTTGTAAAAAATAACAGAAATGTTTTTACTTTATATTTACTCAAAATGCACAAATTAATGGTTTTAAACCTTATAAATTTATCTATTGGTTAAAGTTTTATAATAATTATAAATAATAATAATTACAATTATTGTAAGTTAAAAAAAATTATTTTTAAAGAATTAACTTTTGTTTGAATAATGACATTAAATTTCCACTTTAAAAATCAAAAAAATCTTGTTAGAATAGTCCTAATTTTTTTTTTCTTGGTGACTTTACTGATTAATTATCGTTGAATTACTATTAAGTTATTGCCTCAAAAACTAAATGTGAAAGAAAAAATCTAAAACCCGATTCGGAATCGACATCGAAATTTCATTTAGAAGTTCTACAAAAATTGTAAATAAAAACAGTAGCACAGTGGGGACGTGGAATAGTTGTGACAGTGTAGATGATACCTGAAAGTGATTAAAATCACCATTATAAGAAACACTTCGATTTAAATCTGTGGATAGTGTTTAATTTTAAGAAAATGGTGCTTTATAACAAAAGCAACATCAATTCCTATTTCCTCAACTTTATTCTGATTAGTAGTTCAGATTACAAATCTGCAATAAGATTTTTTTACACTTGTCTCTAATTTTTGAGATTATTATTAATAATCTCTCTTTTTTACTTATTATTACTAATAAGTAAACAACAAATATTTACATGTAACATAAAATAACCAAAAAAATTTAGGTTTTAATGAAATTCAACATCAGAGGAAGAAATCATAGGTGAAACTAGGCTCCGAATATAGTTCTAAATATTACAATTGTAGCATTTATTTAATCACCAAGAAAAGAGTTCATATAGAAATTATTACTATGATTTTTATTGAGATTATATATTTCGATGTGAATACAAAAAAGTTGTGACAAATTTAAGTAAAAATAACAACTTGAAAAATGATGAACACCAAAATAATATGTTTAAATAAAAAATAATTATATAAAAAACAATTTTTTTTCATTTTTAAAAAAAGTTATGACAGTATTAAGAAAAAATTTTTTTAGAAATTAGGTAATTTAACAATTTAAAAAATCGTAATTTTTGACGATTTTTTCTATTAACAGTCAATGAGAGTTTTTTTAATTTTTTTAAAGCAATGTCTTCCACTGTGAACGATTTGACGTATTGTTGAAAAATATCAGTCCCTGAGAACTGAGAAAAAATAGCAACAGACATAAAAAAAAACAGTAAAATTAATTCTTTTTCAGTTTTGCATCGAAGCTAAAAATGTTTGTTGTGTTGTGTGTGTAATTAGAAATTATTTAATTTCATTTATATTTACTATTAATAGACTACTTCTACAATAATTTGTGACTGTATACAATAAAACATTTTTTTTTTTTGTTATTTATTTTGTTATATAGAATATATTTTAAGGAAACTGGATTCTTAAGAGTCTCATATGGCTAGTTCTATTTTGTCTTTAATTAAAAATGTTTTTAAAAATAATTTATACATGCAGGGACGTATTAAATATTATTTAAGTACGCATAATATTGAGATAATGAGCTGACTCGTTTAACATCAAATACCTCTAGTATATTTTCAATTTAACATTTAATTTTAGATTGCTTTTTGATGGAAAAAAATGTAGCGATTGTTTGAATGTTATTATTGTGGTACTGCTCAAATCAACTAAAAGCCGTAGGCCTATAACTTATATATTAGGAGTTAATAGTGACGACAACCGTATAGTTTTTAGTGAGGTGAATACAAAAATGTTGTCCTTGTCAATTATATACGATATGCTTATTTATTATTATTCCAAAACTTGTACACCTTCCTGTAGTTGAATCTATTCTTTATAAAAATTGATTATGCTCATCTCGTTATTCTCGAATTACAGTACGCACTTTTGTTTTATAATTTTACCAACTTGTGTTTATTGGCGCCACTTGTGCTTGTAACGCTACTAACTACTTATTCTTATTGTTTCCTTGACCGTAGATCAACGTTTAGTTTCAAATAATATTATTTATACATAAAACCGTAGCTAATATGAGTTATAGCTGTTTAACAAGTCTTCGGTTGATAACTATTGTAAACGATTGTTAGTAATTGCTTTCTCTAATATCTAATATCGGTGTTTGTCATGACGATTCAGAGTTTACTTGTTGAAATGTCATTACACGTGCTATATATCTAAAAAAAAAAATAACGTGAAATAAATTTTCATTTGTTGACATATCGTGCTCTTAACATGGTTAAGACGTGTTAACCCCTCTTCTTCCAAGAAAAATTAATCATGCTCAAAATTAATTTTGATAAAGAATTAATTTGAGAAATTGTACACAAAATAGTGCAGATATTTGTATAAAAAATAACTGATATTTAGTTATGTATATCAAAAACTACCTGTTATCTAAAATATTGAATGCAAAATCAGAGTTTCTAGAGTCTCTTAAGTCTCGTAAATTCTAACACATGTGACTTCAATGATACACGTTTTACTACGAAACTTTACTCAATTTTTAGTTAAAATAATATTTACAAGTTATATATTTTTACTAAAGAACATTTAATAATATAAGATATTATTTCGTTTTGAACTATTAGAATAATTTTTTAATACCTTTTATGTAGAAGAATAGTAGTAAAAATATTATGCATCTATTTTTCTTCTTATATTTTCGGAAAATTAAAAAAATTAATGAATCTATTACATTAAAAAAAATTTAACGAAATCAAATGATTATTTTTTAGTGAATTGTACATTTTGTCAGCGAAGGACTGGGAAATGTTTGACTCATTTCTCAAAAAAAAAATTCATCCCAGGTCCAGGAAATGACTTTTTGTTCATAAATTTAATTATTTGCAAACACCTTTTGGTGAATATTGAGGGTTCTAATGTAATATCCCCAAGTTTATTTAATTGATAAAATGTAAGCTCCCTTGATTAATTAACATTAATTATTCTAGCCCCTAATTATTCTATCATTTGTCTGTTTATAAATTCATTATAAATAATTTGTATAATATTATTTTGGGCAATATGTACAAAAATGTTTTTTTCTTTCAAATCAATACAATATAAAAATAAATACGAAATATTAAATTGTTAAATTGTGACCTTCGGAAGTCGGCACCTTCTTAATGTACTCGGGTGGCTGTTCGCTTATATTCATCGGCATATTGATTATCACTGCATGTTGGGTATTTAATAGATATTTTTCACGTATTTTAGTATATGTAAAATATAATCTTCATTAATATTATGTATTTATTTTCGATTACTCGATCAATTAATTTGTAACCTAAAATGGCATTCTTTTATACCACCCTCTCTCCCATGAATAATTTTGTGGAAAATACTAAAATGGTTAAACCCACTAGCGCAAAATTCACTATTAAAAATTTCTATGTTCTTCTAATTATAAAGGAATGTCACCTATATTAGACAATTGCTAAACTTATTATTAGGGTTAGGTAGGATATGTGCATTATTTCGATCTGAAAACTATTATTATTAGATACGTTTATTGTAACTTATTAAATACGACTTCCCTAAAATGTTGAATATACAATTTAATACTAGTTGTACATAAACATTAAAAATAACTAGATATCAGAATAGTAATAATAGTAATCAGAAAAACAAATCAAAATGCTATACATATATCTCTTGCTCTTAGAAATTCAAAAAAAAATTATTAATTTGTAAAATATAGTTTTTTAGAGGTATCATTATTAAGAAATTATCCAACGATTAGTCTTTATGAAAAGAAGCCATAACAGTAAAACAAATATAATTATAACCAGAATGATATTCTCGTCTTTCATATCATAAAAATCGTTTTAAATGTTTTTTCTTATCAGTGCATGTTACAATCAGTGGCATGCATATTATGTAGACAATTAGACGCAATACTATAATTAAAGTACTGATACTAAGAGTACATGTATTTATTTTAAAGGTGTTGTAAACGGATTTTTTCTATAACCAGTTGATATAAGAAAAAGCCGTCAAGACGAATCTTATGAATACAAATTGATAACGTTGAACTGAATAATAATGGAACTGATGCAACCTATGCCGCTGGAACTTGCTTTGAGAATACCGACTATACCAGAAACTTCCACGGCGACAGTAGCGCAAACTATAAGCACAGCAGCTTCAACAGTAGTCACTGCAGTAGCCAAAGGTCAACGAAATAATAATCCTCATAGGGTCATCAACGTTCATGGTTTAATGTACGACGAAGCAGTCATCAACGATGTGTGGATAAACGCAATTCTATCCACTTTGGCACTATCGTGTGCCGCTTGTGTTTGTCTATGTTTTTTGTATTGTAAAATTCAACAGTGGAAACATGAAGGTTAGTACAATAACTATCTTATGAAGTAAAAAAATTATTTATTTTTATGTTGATGAAAGAGATAATCTAATAGATTGTCGTAAATCAATAAACTATTGTAAATTAAACAAATAATCTAACATTATTAATAGAAGTTTTTTTTTTTTGCTAGTTTTATATATTGCACTCCGAATAATCTTATTATTTTATATAGAAATGGAATAATTCATCGTAATTATTATTTAATGCATTAAAAATATCTATTATTATATAATAATAGTGAATAAGTTTATCGGTGATCTTTACATTCTATTAAATTTGTTGATACTCTATCATAATGCAAATAAAGCAATTATTTTTATTAAAAATTTGAATTAAATTGGAGCATAATTATAATTTTTAGTTACTTAAAACAATCATTTTTTTAATAGCATTAAGTCATTAAATTTTTATGATAAATTGACTTCTTATTACTGTTTTTTTTTTTTTGAAAAATAATATTTTTATCTAAATAAATTATCTTTGATGGATATTATATGTTTTACTATTGATAGTAAAATTAATTTATTGTGATAAAGATATTTACGTTCGTAAAGAAAACATTTGTTTATCTGCATTTTAAACAAAATCCATTACGTTATATTGAAAATAAATAAACGGATTTTTATTTATTGTTTTTAACTAAATTTATTTGTTTACTCGATTAGTTATTGTTTTTCTATTTGATTTATTGAAATGTTATTATGATGTAAAAGGTGTTATGCTTTGACGAGTTAAAAACAAAATTTAAATAAAATTTTTTTTATGTGTGTGTAGATTTTTCAGCTTGTGTTAAAACATCTTCAGTTTTTTAATTATTAAGAAAAGTCTGTAGCCATATGAAATATACAGTGTATTGTATTTTATATTCATTGATATATTAATGATTCCGATTGCTCTGGGTAACATAGTTTTTCCGCCTTCGATAATTATTTTTTAGCCTTTATTCCTCATCACTCGAGTAAAATAAAATTAAGGTTTTTAACTTATTTATGGATACGCTATTATCGGTATTGAATTCTATACTTTAGGAAGGTTTGGTAGCGGTAGCATATATATTTTAATGGCTTGTTCATTGCTGTTGAAACTTGCATTGATTAAACGAATGTCACGAGTTCATTACTAAATTTTATAATTACTAGTAATAGTTGAATAATAAGTGTTTGTGTGTACAAACAATTATAAATTCGTATTGGATCTTGTGTGTGGTAGCGAGCATTTATCTGTTGTACATCAATCCCTCTAGAAAGATCATTGTTTATAACGTCATTCTGTGCTTGGCGACTACCTATCTGCGAGCAACTTGACTTACCCATCTCGCTTTGCTTTGACCTTGATACTTTTCTTCTGGGAGATCTTTGTCGTTGACAACACAATAACACGTGCGATCATCGATATTAATTATTTTTCTAACCTTTCGTTCGGCTTAAACAGGATCTACAACGTAGTACAACGTGTTGATAATTTTTATTTATGTTAATAACCTGTGTCATTTGTATGGGTTTTGTTAGCCAGTTTTTCGTGCGTTTTTGCCTCACAAATTTCAAAACTACACATCATAATTATAATGTAACTTCACAGCTAAACTAGCTTATCCAGGCCGCCACAAAGTCATTAAGCGACAACTTGATTAAATAACCATTAACATGTTTAAAGTAAAAATAATTATCATTAAGGTTAAGTGTGACAATGAATGTGCCTGCTGAGACATTCGCGTCTCTTATACTTAATGTATGCGATCAAAATAAATAATCTATAATTGTAGAAATTAAATAGATTGATATTCTTGTTAGGAGTACGAAAAATACCAATTTTATATTTAGTAAGTGAAATTACATTATTGAATTGAAAACAGCCATCGTAGAAAAACCTTTTTGCAATTTCAAAACTTGATATTTTTGATCAAATCGCATGTGTATTTTAATAATTGGTAGTTACTTGGTTTCCACAAATGGAAATAATACTAGTTTAGTTTTACAAATAAAATATGAAGGCTTGGTGTATTATCATTCATAATTGGGTTGTTGACACTTGTATTTTTTATGTCGCTTGTATTTTCATTTTATAAATACTTTTAAATGAAAAAAATATCATAAATTATTAAATTTACATTTTTTATTGTTTTTTATTTTGTAACTTGAATAAAAAATTTAAATAAATAATAAATCTTTAAGTGAGTTTAAGTGATGTTGGAAAGTCTGAGAATAACAGGTTTTATCATATTATTTAATTAGTATAATTAAATTGAGGACATAAAAAAGTAATTAAGTAATAAAATTTTAGAAATCAAAGGTCCACCGAATTCAAGTTGTAATGAATTAATTTTTTGTACTTAATACAAGTACTAATGTGTAAAAAAAAAAAAACTTGTTTATTTAATTAACGTCATTGGTATGTCTATAAATTGACTATTATATTTATCTAATGTTATGTTTGTATGTGATGAACAAATTAAATGGACTATCTAGTCAAGCTTATCACGTTGAAATCTTCTAAACTTAATCTAGAGAAAATTAAAAAGCTGTAATTTTTCTATAGATGATGAATCGTTGTGTTTATTTAATGTGCGTACAAACTTTTTTTATTAATTAATTGTTGTAATTAAGGGTGCATTCAAATGTGTTGGAAATAGTCGTATATTAAATAAGCATTTACTACAATTTTTCATGGTAAACGAAAAATCAATTACGAGCGTATGTTAAGTACACTCATAATACGTAATATTATGCTTACTAAGTCAGTATTATTAAGTATGTTAAATAAGCATTGTGAAAAATGTTTTATTCTAATTGTCATAGAAAAAATTTTCTGTAATTCCTACATTGGTCATAAAAATAGTTACGTTGTTATTAATAATAATAATGATAAAATTATTATTATTATTATATTAATTAAATTTAATATTTTGCATTATACAGTAATTGACAAGTGGTGTACACTAGCATAAGTATTAAAAAATATTTTAAAAAATTGATCAAATTATTGATTAAAAATTCAAGAAATGAAAAATGACGTTTATAAAATGTAAAACAATAGTTAATGTTTATCAATCATTTAAATGATCGCGAAAATTGATACTACGGACGAAAATAATATAGATTGCAGAATGAATTGTCATTATAAAAATAAACAATAATTGTTCTCTTAATAAAATTAGGTTAATTCACAGCGTTAGTGGGGCCAATAACTATTTTAGTCGGTTCATGGACAAGTTGCAATGTCAAACGAAGGTAACATATCGGCCTAAAAACGTGATAATAACATATATGATTTGAATTTACTAACGAGAGTTACCCTCTGTGTACTCTCATTAGAGTATTATTAGAAAAACATATGAGAGTTTTCAAATTTTTATTTTTACCGACTCAATTTTTCATATCAGTTATTTTTTTATTAGTTAATGAAATCAAATTTTTATATTTTACACATTTATATACCAACCTTCTCGACTATGGCCTATGCCAGTATTAAATAATTTAAAAAATTCCTTATCTTTTGAGCCCCTGTAGCTTGATAATTTTCTTACTATTGTTTACATCTTTATATATCTATATGTAAATTTATTTATTCTTAATAATTATTATTATTATTATTAATACAATTATTGTATTGACATCTCTCAGTACTTGTCCGTTAATTATGAATAATAATTGACGATCGATTAAATTTATTTAATTAATTAATTACTCCACCGCGATGGGTGGTGTTATTATTTTAGTATATCTGAGAATTTTAACTATGTTTATTTATACATATACTAGAAGATTTAAAAATTAAAAATAAATTAAGTTTCAAATAAATATACGAAATCATGATATTTCTCTACATTTTCATTAGCTATTGAATTTAATTGCTATTGAATCAAATATTGTAGTTAATTATATTGTTAATTTTTATTATTTTTTAAGATTTAAAACGTCGTTTTCAATGTACTGTGAACTTGACTTATGAATTTGTATTTCTGAATTTATTCAGTGTAGTTGTATAAATTTTAATCATTTGTATAAGTATCTAATAAGGTTTTTTATAATTTTAATAAATTAACGGAAAAATTACAATAAATCAAATTAAAAACCTTATTTTGGACGTAACTTTTTGTCCATAAAGTATTATACTAAAATATAAATACCTATGCAATGTAAGTAGTATGTTTAACTAGAAAGCAATTTAACAATATTCGATATCCTTCTACCTAATTCCCTATTCAAGGTTGGCAACCTAAACGTTTAAAGGCATGCAATAATTAATTTTTCTGATAAAAACATGTATTTTGTATAGTATTTTAAAACGAACTCTAAATATAAGATGCTGTTTTTTAAATTTAAATTATTTTTATAGAAATAATATAAGGTTTATGTAAAAGAAATATCCTCTATATTAAATAACAATATTATTTCCCTGTGGATAGGGGATAAGAGTACTTCCACGGCCCATCTGCCAGACGTAAGAGGCGACTAATGAGATTGCGTCAGGTCGGGGTAAAATTTTTGTTAAATAATATAAAGTGTCTTGAACAAAACTTGGGCGAATTCTCCCATCTCGGATGTACGCGGGGACAACGGGTGAGAGGGAATAAAGTAGTTTGGCCGATCCAAGTAGTTGGGATTAAGGCGAGGAAGAAGAAGATTAAATAACAATATTAGGAATGCCTTAATGCTACTTATATGTATTTATATAAATTAATATTAAATAAAAAATATAATCTTTCATTGGTTTGATTTTTTACAGCTGAACAGAGGAGACGAGCAAAAATTGGTTCAAATTATGATGATGAGTCTTTGCCTAGTTATACCATAGTAACCGGTCTGCCTTCTTATGATGAGGCAGTTGAGTGGATGCGGAAGTCAAACTCATCACCTTCCAAGTACAATACCGCTTCCGGTTTGTTCAAGCAAACAGCTATATCAGTGGTTAAATTGCAAGACGAAACGTCCGCTATTACGATTCCGGGTAAACCCATGACTTATCCATCATCGTCGCCAATGCCGCCTCCCATTTCAACATTGTCATCATCAACGATGCGTTTTAAACTACATAGATCTGAACAACAACAGACGCCACCAATGCAACCGGTCACCATTTCCGCTTCTGTAGCTTCTTCACCGCCACATTTTGGACTTGTATCACATGGCTATTACATGCAACACCGAACTTGCAGTCATTGTTTATCTGTTCAGGAACTACTGGAGACCTATAACGTTCGGTAGACATCCCTTCAACGGGGATCATGACTATTACTATTTATTAATATCGCGTTTTGTACATTTTGTTTGTTATTTACATTAATATAATAGTGCTTACTAATTTATATATGACTAAATTTTTAAAGATTTGTTTTGAGTCAGATAAAACTTTTTTAATATATTGTCTTGTAAAGTGTGTACATGGATAAATTTTTATTCAGTTTTATGTGTCTTCATTTTTTCATTTTTTTAATATCAATTGTCAAATTTCTCTAATGTAATAAAATTTAATATATCTCCATATTTTTCAGTTGAATATTAAAAGTTAAGCGTATACAAACTTTTAAATTTGATAATATTGCTTAACAACCTAAGTAAATTTATTTACATTTATTTAGAATATAATTTTCTATAGTTAATATTCAACATTTGACTTTTGTCTAAAATATAAATTTAAGTTACGGAATCTTTTTTTATAGTAGAACTCAAAAAATGTTAACATTCGTTAAAATATATTTCTGGTATGATTTTAAAGTTAAAAATATCTGTTACTTAAATTTAAAGGCTCATTTTTTTTTCGATAGCTATAATTTTTGGCAGCATAGTTGCATAGCAGTAACTACTAAGTCCTTGATAATTTTTGTATTTACCAGTCTCAGAATTTGATGTTCAGTTTAATTATTAGTAAGGTTGTAAATTCTAAAGCTATTGAAGTTAAACAAAATAATATTTATGGATTTATAACATTATTAATTATGCACATTTTTATAGATTTTCAATTTTAGTCTCAAATGATTATATTACATTAAACAGTAGAAAGTACTTTAAAAATATATTTAAGTTTAAGCTTATCCTTGAAGATTAAAATATTTTATCAATGAAGTATGCATCTAAACAAAGATAAATATAGATCAAAGATTTTTTCATCTCTTTTACATCATTAAGTCAAAATATTCAATAGTAGTCACTATTTATTTTGTAACATATGCAAAACTTAGTTGAAAAAAAATAGGTATTTTAGATTAATTTAAAAAATAATGATCAAAGTTCCTTGATTTTACAATTTTAGTTCCAATTTAAATTGTTGAATATGTAACTAAATGCCTGCTAAAATTCAGTGTTTTAGTCGTTTTGAGAATGTATTCAAAAAATTGTTGGACAAAAACATTTTTAGAAGAATATTCTTAAATTTTTATACTTTTGTTTTAATTTAACATTTTTTATGACTCGATTGCCATAAACTTATTTACAGACATTCGATTGAGTGCCAAATTTTTGTATAAAAATGTTTTTACTTATTAATTGTTTGTAATTTGTTGTATTTTTTACAATTTTTTATCAATTTTAGGTTAAGCAATTTATTTATATATTTAGTTGAGCTTGCGAATGCATAAAATAAATATATAAATTATGAACTTATATCTCTTTTGTTCTCCAACTCTCCTTATGCCCTCAGTATCAAATCAGTTGATTTTTTTATATGTTTAAATTAAATTAATATTTAAAAATACTAAAATAATAGTTTGCTGAAGTATTTTTTTAATATATATTCAGTGTAATTTATTATTATGATATTTAGCTAAAACAAAGTCATCGATATCAGCCTATATGTTATAAAGAAGTATTGACTGTATAGGAAATACTAGTTCTTCATTAAAATATTTATAATTCGAGATATATAAAAGGTTAGAACTATAGTGGTGTATAAATCAGTTTTTTTATTAATTTTTCAGAAGAGTCAATTTTCCCATAAATTTAAATACATAAATCAAATTTTAATCCTATAAGGTATAATTCAAGGTGATTTTTAAACTTTTGATTTCTCTTAAAATTATAATCATATTAAAAAAATTATTTCTGGTATATTTTATGTTATATATTTTAAGTTTTGAAAGTTATTAATTACTTTTTTAATTCATCCTTTATTTCTTATAGAGGTGTCATTAATTTCTTTAAATGAAAAAAAAACAAATTTATCTAGCTGATAAAATAAAAAAATGATCTAAATAAGCAAATAACCGGTCAAATACAACCATACTCGAGAGTTTATTAAAATGTTTATACCTAGAAAGGAAGAAAGATGCGCCCCAGATATGTCTAATAATTAATATTGTTATTCCCACGCCTGACCTCCAGTCAATAATTATAAAGTTGTGATCGACCAGACATTTTAAAGACAAGCCCAGAGGTTAAATTTTTTTTTCAAATTAAAATATATAACATAAGTTTTAATTTAAGGTATATATAAAAGTGTCAGTCTTTCCGGAACATTTTCAAAAGTTAAGTTGAAAAAGTTACCATTTTTAAACCTATCCTGTTGCAGGTAAAGGGTCAAATATTCGTAAAAATATATCAAATGATAGGTAAATACCTAAGGTATCTATAAAAAAAAAATTATATTGATTCGGTCATTTTTAAAAAAGTTATGGCAAATTTAAGTAAAAAAAATTGAAAAAATGTCGAAAATTAGCGATTTTTAAATTTGTAATTTTTTTGGAGGTTTCCCCTATTTACGGGGAACAAGGGAATTTTTTTCAATTTTTGAGGGTAATGTCTTCGACTAGATTCGATTTGTGATCTTTTGACGTATTGATCATCAAAATCAGTCGAGCGAAAGCTGAAATTAAGCGTTCACAGACACACAAAAAAAAAAACTCATCATAGTAAAATTAATACCTTCTCAGCTTCGCATCGGAGCCAAAGAAAGTTTTTGTAAAAACACTACTGCTTGTCAGCCTCAGGAGGTATTTTTTCAAATAAGTGGAAATCAAAATATTACTCCAATCTTAAAATCAGATAACCTTTTCAACATAACAAGTTATCGTCCTACATCAAAATTTATAATCTAAAATAATGTTTAATAAAATAATAAATTTATGTTTTCACCATTGGACAGATCTGTCAATATAGTTTCAAACCAAAACGGTCTACTTGCACTAACTTTGTACTTACGAAAACTTTTATTCTTGTGTCATTTTTTATTTTTTTCTAAACAGACATAATTTATATAGATTTCGCTAAAGCGTTTGATCGGGTTTGAAGTGTTTGGTTTTGTAAATTCTTTAATATTATTTTTCAGTAATTTTGATCGTAGTTTTGAATCAAAATCACTATATATCATTTCCGGAGTTCTCCAAGGGGATTATTTACACGGTTATTTAATACTTTTATTAATAATCTACCAAATAATGTAATAAACAATTAAACCATTTAACATTTTACCAATGATGCAAAACTTATAGCTTTTAAATTTAAAATTAATCGTCTTCTTCATGGTACTTATAAAGTTGTTTTAGAGTTTTTTAATTTGAAAAAAATCAATTGATATGCGTACTTAACTTGAATTGAAAACTTAACGAATTTAGACTTCGCATAAAATAAAATTATGATCAAAATTTGATTTAATATGATTAAATCATATTGAATTTTTAGATTTTCACTCAATACTTTTTTTTTGAATCTTATAATTTTTAAATCTAATTTAAAATGTTTTATTTTTTATTTTTATTTGTAAATTGTATTATCATTTCTTAAAATAATTTTATTATATTTTTACAGATAACTTAGCTGTTGATAACGAAATAGCTGAGGATCCGCGAAAAAAAGTACAATTGAACAGTAAGCTCATTGTTATAATGAGTTTACTTCTGCATTATGCAGAAGTTCAAACAATATATATATAACAATAAACATGATTAAATATATCAACAAATTTGTATTATAAACATATTTAAATGAAAATGACAAAAAGTGTCTTAATAAAAGTATGCTTAATAAACTAAGCATAATATATAAAAATAACAAACAAAAAAAAAAAAAAAGACAGTTGATAAACTAAAACAATTAAAAATGTATGACAACAATAACATAAATTAATAATGAATAGAATAGAAAATTAAATCGTCATAATAATACATATTTTACAAATTACAAATGGTGTTTTAAACAAGGTTGTTAAAAATATGTTTTTTTAAAATCTATTTACTATATAAATAAACAATTTAGAATTTCCTATAAAACCAAGATAAATATTGTCATTTTTGGTGTTTTAAACATGTTTAAAACACTATTTTGAACAAGCAGTGTTTAAAACGCAACAACATTAGTTCTCAACCTTGCAAAATGGTTCATTAATAGGTCAAAAGTTACTCTAATTAGGTTGTAACTGCAATAACGTTAGACGTAATTTTCATTCATTATATTGCAGTATAATTCACGGAAGTAATACTATTGATTAGTATTACATATTCTATATTATTTATAAACAATGTTTAAATAATTTTAATTAAAATATTTCAATTATTCGGAGAAAAAAAATAATATTTACAGAACTACAAATAGTTCTTTTTTAACACATGATCTATAAATTTATTCATTAATTTATAACCCGAACGAGTTTTAAATAATAACTGATACATATCTCTTTGATAGTTCACATCATAATGTAGAGTATCGATCAAATTATAAGACTTATTTTTATGAATATAACACAAAAATAAGAAGCTTCTTGCTAACAATTTTCGCGTAATTACTGGGTTGTAAAAAATGTACAACATCTTGATTTTGTCTGTATTACAGATACATATAATTTTGAACTGTATTTTTAACACGCTTATATTAGTTTCATATGTATGTATGTATGTATGTATGTATGTATGTATGTATGTATGTATGTATGTATGTATGTATGTATGTATGTATGTATGTATGTGTTGGGGCCAGGGGCACTAAATATTATAGTCCGAACCGGCTAATTGCACCAATACCGATCAGGCTGTGTAGTGTGGTATATGTAAATAGAATCACTGGAGGTGGGAGGGGTCGCCTGCGCAGCAACCAGCGATCTTGAAGATAAAATAAAGTCCGAAATTTTTTTTTTCCATGATAAAGTATATTACATTAGCTTTAATTTAAGATATATATAAAAGTGTCAGACTTTCCGGAACACTTTCAAAATTTAAGTTGAAAAAGTCAATTTTTTGTGAAAAAGTTGTCATTTTGAATCCCCCCCTGTAGGCAGGTAAAAAGTCAGATTTATAAAAAAAATATACCAAATGATAGGTAAAGACATCATGCATCTACAAAAAAAAGAATTATATTGATCCATACATCTTTCGAGAAGTTATAGCATTATAAAGTTAAAAATATAAAAAAGAATTTTTTTACAAAAATCGTATTTTTTTTATTAAGTTTAATGTCTGTTTTCACCATGAAGATAAAATAAAGTCCGAAATTTTTTTTTACCATTATAAAGTATATTACATTAGCTTTAATTTAAGATATATATAAAAGTGTCAGACCTTCCGGAACACTTTCAAAAGTTACGTTGAAAAAGTTCTACTTTCTATATGCATTTTTATGTTTTGAATCCCCCCTGTATTTAGGGAAATGGTCCGATTTAAAAAAACAGTATGTCGAATGAAAGATCTATATAAATACTACTTCTCATAAAAAAATTGTAATGATTCATACATTTTTCAAAAAGTTATAGCATAATAAAGTTAAAAATGGAAAATACAAAATCGAAAATTTTCACACAAAAATAGCATTCGGTAGCCATTTTCACCATGAAGATAAGATAAAGTCCGAAATTTTTTTTTTTCATGATAAAGTATATTACATTAGCTTTAATTTAAGATATATATAAAAGTGTCAGACCTTCCGGAACATTTTCAAAATTTAAGTTAAAAAAATTAATTTTTTGTGAAAAAGTTGTCATTTTAAATCCCCCCTTGTGGGCAGGTTAAGGGTTAAATTTATGAAAAAAATATACCAAATGAAAGGTAATGATATTATGCATCTATATAAAAAAGAATTATATTGATATGTTCATTTTTGAAAAAGTTATGGCACTTTTAAGTAAAAAAAATTGAAAAAATTTCGAAAATTAGCGATTTTTAAATTTGTAATTTTTTTGGAGGTTTCCCCCTTTTACGGGGAACGAGGGAATTTTTTTCAATTTTTAAGGGTAATGTCTTCGACTAGATACGATTTGTGATCTTTTGACGTATCGTTGAAAGAAATCCGTTCGGTGAGAGCTGAGAAAAAGTTGTAACAGACACAAAAAAAAAAAAAAAAAACACATCTTAGAAAAACCAATACCTTCTCAGCTTCGCATCGAAGCTAAAAATAGAAAAATATAAGATCACGTCGAGGTCACCAAACTGTTGGGGCCAGGGGCACTAAATATTATAGTGCGTACCCGAACCGGCTAATTGCACCAATACCGATCAGGCTGTGTAGTGTGGTGTATGTAAATAGAATCACTGGAGGTGGGAGGGGTCGCCTGCGCAGCAACCAGCGATCTATGTAGTGCTTAAGTGTGTACTGTGTGTATATATGTTTTGTGTGTGCTCTTAAACTAAGTGAATAAATAATTCAAATCCTTTTTACAACAATTAATAATAATAATTTTAATGAATAACTTGATTATATAAATTTAGCCCTTTTGGCTCAACAATTATAATTATAAACTCTGAAAAAAATCTAACAAAATGACAACAACGATAAACTATACAAATTCAATAAATCAATAACAAATGAATGTGACTCTTCCAATAATAAATGAATAAAACTTGTAATAACTAATCTGTTCAATAAATCACAATCAATAATAACTATAATAATAATAAAGAAGACTACACTAAATTACACAATGGAACACAAACATCAATAATAGTACTCACAATTTGCAGAGCTGCTGGCCAGAGATGCTACCTAAAACTAAAACACGAATCACAACAATAACAAAGGAACTTAACTTAATACAATTTTTTGGTAACACAAATTGACTAGAAAAATTTAATATGTAGCAATGAAATATCACAGTAAAGATACAAGTTATCGAGCTAATTTTTGGCTGTACAATCAATGATCCTAGCAATTAGTGAAAGAATAGAATAACAAAATTATATTAGTTTTTATAACTTTGAACCTTGCCGTAACGTTTTAAAAACAATATTCAACGTCTATATCAACAAACAAATTGTATATTAGAACTAACAAAATGAAAAATGTTTCAACAAACAAAACAAAAACGAATTATTACCCAATACAAAAAAAAACTATACTATATACATTTTTGTGGTTATGTGTTGTGTGTGGTGTGTAGTGTGTGTACAGCTGATCGGCCGGTAGTAGCGATATCCACTACTACTTGAGTAGTAGGGAGTAGTCGCGTGATAATGATTAAACCGGTCCGAGTACACACTTTTAAGTTAACAACTGAAATGTTGTTAACATTCACCCCCCCGCTGATCGATGAGACGATCTGAATTTCTTAAAAACTGTTATTTGATAGGTTGTAAACCCTTTGGAAGAGGGTAAACTCGATTTGCTGCTCTTTTATAAATTTGACCGTTACTTGTACGTAACGTGACTACACGAATAATTCCGTCATTGCCAGGGTGAACTTCTTGAATACGTAGCATTGGCCATTGAAGAGGTGGTAGATGATCTTCACCCAACATTACTAACATTCCAACTTGTAATGGGTTTGATCCTTTCCACCATTTAGTTTGTTTCTGGAGGGTTTGCAAATATTCCTTTGACCATCGCTTCCAAAATTGTTGCATCATGAATTGTATATGTTTGTAGAGCGTCGTGTGGGACATGTTTGAGAAATGCTTGGCTCTGGTGGTAACAACAGTGATTCTCCTATTAAAAAATGTGCTGGTGTAAGTGCGTTGTAATCATTTGGATCATTAGAAAGTTCCGTGATTGGCCGTGAATTTAGACAAGCTTCGATCTGAGTAAGTAATGTCGTCATTTCTTCAAACATTAGAGTGGTTAATCCAATTACCCGTTTCAAATGATATTTTGTTGATTTTACTGCTGCTTCCCATAGTCCTCCGAAATTGGGTGCTCTAGGTGGAATGAACTTCCATTGAACGCCAATCTCTGCCATTTCGTCATATGGACTTCTACTTCTCTGACTTGCTAAAAATAGATCCTGCAGTTCTCGTTTCGCTCCTTTAAAATTAGTTGCATTATCAATGTGTATTTCTCGGCAAATTCCTCTTCTAGATATAAATCTTCGAAGTGCAGCAACAAATTTTTCTGAAGATAAACCACTAACTAATTCTAAATGAATTGCTTTAGATGTAAAACAAACGAATAGTGCAACATAAGCCTTTTCCTTTTTAGTATTTCTTCCAAACCCAGACCGCACCATTATTGGTCCACAAAAATCGACACCTGTTACAGCAAAGGCTCGTTCTGGATTTACTCTTGTGCTGGGAAGCTGTCCCATTGATGGTTGAGAAATTACCGGTTAAACTATACTATATACATTTTTGTGGTTATGTGTTGTGTGTGGTGTGTAGTGTGTGTACAGCTGATCGGCCGGTAGTAGCGATATCCACTACTACTTGAGTAGTAGGGAGTAGTCGCGTGATAATGATTAAACCGGTCCGAGTACACACTTTTAAGTTAACAACTGAAATGTTGTTAACAGTATGTATGTATGTATGTATGTATGTATGTATGTAACTCTCTAAACGCCACGCGTTATCGCATATTCCGTCGTCTAGACTAGACTGTCATAACGCATTCACCCCATCCCACCCCACGCTCATCAATACGCCGGCAATACTATTCCTGTATAAATTTATTTTTGGTTATCGTTTATATATATTATATATATATAAACAAATTTTTATTTTGACTGACCAATAACGCCCGCGTCTAATGCGTCTTACGTATATATATTTATATATTCCTACCGCCGTTTATACCTCAGGTATAACGTTAGTCCGAACCGCCCGCCCACAAAATACGGTTATACCTAGTGCATGATACGTTTACGTACTTAAGTCGCTTTACTCGTATATATATATATATATATATATATTCTAATTACTATTAAAATTTATTTATTAACACGCTTTATTTTAATTAAGAGATATAAAGTATTCATTCCGATTACGAGGGATGATTTCCATACGATACCGTCATTTTTCGTCACTATCTCCACGTTCCGGGAGTGAGTAATTTACGCGCCTGCTGTTTTCTTTGGATGTGGTAGTNTCCACGTTCCGGGAGTGAGTAATTTACGCGCCTGCTGCTTTCCTTGGATGTGGTAGCCGTTTCTCAGACTCCCTCCCCGGAATGGAATNTCCCGTTACCCGTTACAACCATGATATTGATAGTAACTACTATCATAACATAAAACTAAAAAGTGAAAAATAAATATAGTTTAAAAGCATGTTTTTTTAATTTTTTTAAACTATATTTATTAACACGCTTATATTAGTTTCACCTGTATGTATGTATGTATGTATGTAACTCTTCAAACGCCACGCGTTATCGCGTATCCCGTCGTCTATGGCCTTGAGACTAGACATTCACCCCTCCCCACACCACGCTAACAACACGAAGGCACACTATTCCTATAAAAATTTATTTTTAGTTATCCNAGTATTTTTTTTCATAATTATTTTAAAAATTATTTTTAACTTTTTAGTTCGATGTGCTTTAAAAGCGTGTTTTTTTAGTTTTTGAAACTATATTTATTATATGTAAGAATTTATTATTAGTTACTTTATTAATAGTACAACTCAGTTCGTGTTCAACGTCTGACCGTGATACACGTGTGTTTCTACATTATCGCATTTATAGCTATCGATAGCAGTAACACACAAGTCTGTTCAAAGTTCAGCGTTGCAGGTAATATGATTAAAATTATTGCCTTATTTACACCAATTAAATAAATATCAAACCTAACGATGGGCGATAAGCCCAACACCATATCTGACGATATGAATATCACAGACAGTGCTTCCCAACATATTCATAATACTACAACATTTGCAGAGATAGCCTCTAATATTACATTACCGAAAATGAACCAAGCAATTGTATTTAACTGTATTAACAACATCAAACAAATCGAATATGTTTAAATAATAGTACACAGTGTACAGCTGACCGTTATACGGTGAACACGTTTTATCTGTTTTATCTTTATTTTATCGTTAAAATACGTTTAATTTGATTTTTTAATATATCTTAAAAATAATGTCTTTAACTGCAAAATCTCCTGTATCCAATAAATCTTCTAAAAAGGAACCTACATTATCTGATGTGATTAAAATACTAAAATCTCAAGAATCTAAATTGGTTACGATTTCTACTAAATTATCAATGCACGAGAACAAAACCGATTCAATTATGGTAAAATTAGATGAGCTTACCTTAGATATATCAAATTTAAGAAAAGAAAATAATGAACTCAAATCTCAGATTGACACTTTACAATTACGTATTAATTCATTAGAAACATCAATGTGCAACAATGGTACGAATCCAGATATGAAATTTCTAGTTCATGAAGTACAAGAACGTATAACAAAATCAAAAAACATTCTTATTTTCAACGCTGCAGAAGAACCTAATAACAGTGAGTTATCTCCGGCAAAATTAACTGAAATCATTTTTAAAAAAATTGATTTAAATATACCGATTGTTCATGCCATTCGTTTGGGTAAAAATTCAGAAAAACCTCGTCCTATTATGGTTAAACTTGGAAGTAAATCAGAGGTGTTATCAGTTTTAAAAGCCAAACGGAAACTACGTGAAATCGACTCGCTTAAACATATATTTACTGGTATGGACTTGACAATATCATAACGAACTCAATACAATGAAATTAAACTTCAATTGAATGCGAAGAAACATTCGGGCGATAACGGATGGTTTATCAAGTTTATTGATGATGCTCCCACTCTGGTGAAAAAAAACTAAAGAAAATAGCTGCATCAACTGCAGCTACACCAAACCTTAAAAATGTAAATATATTTAATTTTAAGAAAAATAATAATTTATTAGGTTACTATCAAAATGTGAGAAGTCTTAATAACAAGCTAAAATTTTTAACCTGTAATGTTCCATATAATAACTATGATTTTATAATTTTTACCGAAACCTGGCTGAATGCTGAGGTGTTAGATTCAGAATTGGATATCTTTAATTACAATATTTTTCGATGTGACAGAAGTGGTTTGACGAGTAAATGTGATCGTGGTGGTGGAGTATTGATTGGCATACATAGAAAATATATTAGTGAACTGATTACAACTCCCTACAATTCAGTAGAACAAGTTTTCGTATCTATTAAAAATAATAACAAGATAAAATTGATTATCGGCACTTGTTATATTCCAGAGGTCAGTCCGTTATCGGTGTATGAAACTCACGTGAATACAGTTAACTGGCTTTATGAAAACTTCGGAGATAATGTAGATTTAATTATCTGTGGAGACTATAATTTTAGAGGTACTACATTTTCATATGACAATACTGGTTTAATTGTGAATGGCCGCATGCCTACAGCAGTCAATGTAGTTTTTGATGCATTTTCAATTTTCAATATGTCACAGTTTAACTCCTTATGTAATCCCTATGGTAATACACTAGACCTAGTTTTCTCTAATTTAGATTTATTAAGTGTTGACTTATGCACTAGCCCTTTAGTTCCTATTGATAAACCTCACCCTCCACTTCTTATAAATTTTGAATTTAAAGATACAAAAAATCAATCGGAGTTACCATTAATAAAGAAAAATTTTATTAAAGCAGATTTTGTAGGTATTTCGATGGCCTTGAATAATATTAATTGGGATGATGTATTTTCTAATGGTAATGTTGATACATATGTAGAAGATTTTTATAATATCGTTAATACTATTTTAGAAAGTTTGTACCTACGTATAATGTACCAAAAAACAACTTTCCTCATTGGTTTGATAATAATTTACGAAAGCTAATAAAAGAAAAACGTTTTGCTCACAAGCAATATAAAATAAGCCCCAACTCTTCGAATTATTCACATTTCTCTGAACTTCGGGCTAAATGTAAATATTTTTCAAAACAATGCCATGAACAGTACTTAAATAACATACAGAATAATTTAATTACTAATCCTAAAAAATTTTGGAGCTTTATTGAAGAGCGCAGTAAAATTAATTTTATTCCATCTCCTATGTCATATGAAAACTCTAGTTATGATAATAACCAAGCTATTTCTAATGCATTTGCAAATTATTTTTCATCAGTATATGCTAGTTCTCTATCTGATAGTACCTATGATACTACTAATGTTTTAACTGAATCTTTAATAAATACCTCATCTTTGTATATACCCCTATCCGAAATTTTTGAAGGTCTTTCAAATATGGGTGAAGACTGCACTTCTGGACCAGATAAATTACCCCCAATTGTTTTATCTAAATGTTGTTACGCCCTAGCTCGTCCAATCCACATTTTATTTAATATGTCTCTTTCTAATGGTATTTTTCCTCAACTATGGAAATCTAGTTTTGTAATCCCAATCTTCAAATCTGGTAATCGTAATTTAATACAAAATTATCGTCCAATTTCAAAATTAAGCTCGATACCGAAACTTTTTGAAAAATTAATTGAACCTAAATTGTCTTATATGTTTAACAGTGTTATAATTGATGAACAACATGGCTTTCGTACCAAAAAATCAACTTGTACTAATTTGTTAGTGTATGTTACAAATCTATATGATATTATTGAAAAAAAAGGACAAGTTGACACCATATATACTGACCTAAGTAAAGCCTTTGATTCAGTTGATCACAAGTTATTATTAATTAAACTTAATGCCCTGGGTATTGACAAACCACTACTAACATGGTTTGGCTCTTTTTTAACGGGTAGAACTCAACAAATTAAAATTTTAAACCAAGTATCATCTACTTTTAGTGTCTCATCTGGTGTACCACAAGGTGGACATTTATCTCCCTTATTATTTTTGTTATTCATAAATGATCTGAAAAGTGTGTTCCATTTCTGTAAGTATTCTCTTTTTGCCGATGATCTAAAAATGTATATGGTAGTTAACTCGTTAGAAGATTGTCGTAAGTTGCAAAATGATATTAACCGTTTCAATAAATGGTGTAAAGATAACCATTTATCAATAAACATTAATAAATGTGCTCAAATATCCTTCACTAGAAGTAAAAACCCTGTTATATACAATTACTCTATTGATGATCAAGACCTTAACATAGTTTCTTCCATTAAAGATTTGGGTATAATTTTGTCTGCCGATCTCTCTTTCTCTGAACATATTTCATTTATATACGGCAAAGCAATGCGCATGTTAGGATTTATCAGACGTCAATGCTACGATTTTAAAAACATTGATTGTCTAAAAACATTATACTGCACCATGGTACGTCCGATTTTGGAATATGGGACAATAATTTGGAATTCCTATCAGCTTAATCAAATCAACCGTCTAAATAATGTACAATCATATTTCTTGAGATATTTATCTTACAAATTTTTAATGAATTGTTCTACAAAGGAAATTGCAATGAGGCTAGGTCTGCATTCACTCTCCTCCAGGCGTAAATTTAATGATGCGTCTTTTATTCACAAAATTCTAAATAATAATATTAATTGTCCCGAAATGCTCAAAAAAATTAGTTTATCAATTCCAACTTGTAATACAAGATCAAAAACTGTTTTTTATGAGTCATTCCACTGTCAGTCATATAGTTTTAATCAACCTAAAAGTCGTATGATCCGTGTTTGCAACAGCCTCGATAGCTTCGACTTCAACTTTGATTCTGAGTCTAAACTTCGTCATTTGTGTTTGGGTTTTGATACATAATTATATTTTATATTATAGTTAATTTTATTTTATAATGTATTACCTTTATATCTATTAGTGTAATTGTATCGATGTATTTAAAAATCTATTTTATATTACTTATTTTAAATGTTAAGATTATTATAAATTAAACTTTTGTACACTCTCATGCTTTCGGGCGTTAATAAATAAATAAATAAATAAATAAATAAATATATGTTACCGCAATCAGTAAAATTACACGCGCAAAAAATATACAATTTGTATCACGTATATCCAATAATAGATTCTGCATATTTTTCAATAGTCAAGCCGTCATGGAAAATCTACTCAAAACCCACTCTTCAATTTATGTCAATGAAATAGAAATTCCAATTCGTAGGTTCATTAACGGTCCAAAAGAATCATTCTGTCCAATGTTTATCCTACTATCCCTAATCAACTTATACTAAACGCTCTCCACGAAATAGGAATTAAAACCACTTCTCAAATTTCTCACATGAAAGCTGGATTTGCAACTGAACAATTTTCGCATATATTAAGCTTCAGAAGACAATTATACATCAATCGAGACAGTGTGTCTAAACTACCTAGCTCAATCACAGTAACTGTTGAAAACACCACGTTTAGAATATTTATAACCGATGACACCGTTACTTGTTTCCAATGTCATAAGACCGGACACTTTTCTAGCCAATGTAAAAATATACCCGAACAAATCAATTTTATCGATATAATCGAAACCGACATGGAAGCAACTAATGACATACCGCCAGTCTCAAATGTAGAAAAAAATGTTTCTCCATCACCACCTATTGTAAATGCTCTAAATATTTATACCAGTCAGAATTACGATCCTTTAATTATAATAATCCTCTCGCTAGTCGAAAAGCTCAAATCGTCATCCAACAAAAATATCAACGTAACGTCTCCAATCGTAACTAAACGTCCAGCCCCGTCGACCACGTCTCATACACTTTCTCCAAAATCTTCACACTCATCCAACTCAACTTCAATAATGAAGCCCCCAACGCACCTGACGGCAAAACTCAACCATAAATAACCACAAAGGAAATGTACATAAAAAACCAAAAGTTAGAACAAGCACTAGTTCAAATGATAGCTTTTATTCACATATCGATAAAGGGTTAGATCCAACCAAAAATCTATTTAACTCAAATCCTCAATTATCCTTATCTCTAAACCAGTTAAAAGATTTTTTTGAAAATTCGCAAGGTTGCACTGACCTTGTGAATTTATGTACGGAACATCGTAGCAGTCCAGAAAATATAATCGAAATCATTACAAACATCTACTCTGTCATAAAAATAAAAAGTATTAAAAATCGTCTAACCAGATTATTAAAAGCACTTGAAAAAATCCAAAACATCAATTTCAGTCAGGCTTCCTATGCTGACAGTAATGATGATGAAACCTACTAGCTTGATTCCAACCAATATACCACTATACATACCCATCTAACTAATATTAAACCAATCATGATAATTAATAACAGTCTTAAAATAATCCAATGGAATCCAAATGGATTCTTCTCCAAATTAGATGAAATCAATTTATTATTGAACAAATACTGTCCAATCTCAATATGTCTACAAGAAACTAATTTTATCAACAACAAGGTCGGCTCCCTAAAAAACTACACTACATACTACAAAAATAGAGCAAATGTAGGCAGAGCCAGTGGTGGGGTGGCAATCTATGTAAATTCAAATTATCACTCCGAAGAAATTACCATTAATACTAATCTAGAAGTGGTCGCAGTAAATATTTTAATCAAAAACCCAATAACAATCTGCAATAAATATCTACCAAACTCTCACTTTTTTGAGTCATCTGATATTCAAAATATTATTAATCAACTCCCCACCCCTTACATTCTCTTAGGAGACTTCAACAGTCACAGCCCTTTGTGGGGCTGCTCCGACCTTGACTCATGAGGAACTAAAATTGAGCAAACACTTTACAGCAACAACGACCTCAATATACTTAACAGTGGTCAAGCTACAAGAGTTAGGGCTAGCACGGGATACTTTTCAGCCATCGACCTTTCATTCTCATCATCTACAATTACTCCCTACATAGATTGGGATGTCGTACCAGAATTATCAAGTAGTGACCATTTTCCTATCATGACGCTCAATCACACAAACTCCCATTATCATTATTCTGGAAAAAAAAATGGAAACTAAAAAATGTTGATTGGACCTCATACCAAACGGAAATTGATAAAAATATTGAATCAACATCTTGGACAAATACTAATAATATAGAAGACAAGATAAAACGGTTCACCAACCTCATTATAAATACAGCCTCCGACGTTTTTGAGTTAACTAGCTACTCTGGCAAGAGACCTCCAGTCCCTTGGTGGAATAAAACCATCAAACAAGCTATACGAAAAAAAAAACTGCCTTCAACAGATACAAGCGAACCTTAGACCTTCAAGATTTTATACAATTCAAAAAAAACAAAGCGCAAGTCAGATATCTAATTAAAAGTGAAAAAAAAGTCATGGGAAAATTTTATATCTAATTTAAATAGTCATGTTTCCCCAACCTTAATGTGGAACAAAATTAAAACTTTAAAAGGAATCCCCTTTACACAAATAAAAACACTAACGGTAGGACAAACAGTTTATACAGAACCTAAAAAAATAACCAACCAAATAGGACAGTTTTTTTACTCCAACAGTAGTAACTCTAGTTTGAATCCAGACTTTCTGAAATTTAAAGAAACTCAAGAATTAATTATCTCACCGATCCCCCATCAACAACAAATCAAGGTTCAATTTTCAACGATCCTATCACAATGTCAGAACTAAACTCTAGTCTAGAAGGAAAAAAAAGTAATAGTTGTGGACCAGACAAAATACCATTCTTATTTCTCCAGAACCTCTCCATTAAAGGAAAAAATCTACTCCTCGAGTTGTATAATAATGTTTGGTTGTCCGGTATTATCCCAACTTTATGGGAAAATGCTACCCTTACCCTCATTCCTAAAAAAGAGCAAGACAGACACAAACCTTCAGGATATCGCCCTATCTCTGTCTTATGTAACATGAGTAAAACATTCAAAAAAATAATTTATAATAGGCTTAATTGGTACGTACAAAGATTTAATCTGTTATCCTCAAACCAGCATGGATTTAGGAAATTTCACTCAACTACAGATTGCCATGTTAAAATTGAAACGGAAATACTCGAATCTTTCGCAAACAAATAAACCATGATACTCATCAGTCTAGACCTTCAAAAAGCTTACGACACAGTTTGGCGGCATAGAGTTTTAAATATACTGAAAAAATGGCACATCAATGGGCAGATGTTACAATTTATAACAAGTTTTCTGAATGATCGTTCTTTCCAAGTTAAAATAAATGACCACTTCTCAGAAAATTTTGTATTTGAGAATGGAGTCACACAAGGATCCCCCTGAGCATTCTACTTTTTCAAGCCGCAATCAACAACCTACCCGATGAAAAACCTGTGAAATCAATTATGTTTGCAGACGACACTCATATTTATCTCAAAGAGAAAAACATTAAATCAATGACACGCCGTCTTCAAGATTGCCTAAACGACCTGTCCAACTGGTGCTTCCAATCAGGTTTTATTTTCTAACCAGAAAAAACCAAATGTTTACCAAAAAAAAAAAAACAAATCTCAAAACCAAAGTTATTTTTGGGAAACACACCTTTACCGTTCGTGAACAACATAAAAATTCTAGGGCTGATTTTTGATAACAAACTTACATGGAAACCTCATATAATTAAGACCAAAACAAGCGCAACCAAAAGTATCAATATCCTGAAAACGTTGAGCCATGTTGAATGGGGAGCAGAAAGCTCCGTCTTAATCAACCTATATAGATCTCTTGTTAGATCTAAATTAGACTATGGATCAATTTTCTATACCAATTCAAACCCTAACCTCCAAAAAACAATTGACATAATTCATAACAGTGGTCTAAGAGTTGCAACCGGAGTATTTAGAAGCAGCTCCATCCCAAGCATTTAATCCATTTCTGGAGAACTTCCCCTTCATATTCGCAGAACCAAATTAGCTCTAAATTATATTGCTCGCATCCTTTCCTCCCCAGAAAACTCTACATTACCATTTGTGACTCAAAATCGTTTTGCAAATATATTTTGCTCCAATTCAAATCTAAAAAAACCATGGGGTTTAAGGATGCTGAATGAAATGTCGCTTAACAATATCGATCCAAATTCAATTATCAAACGAGAATATAGTGTGGTGCCTCCTTGGAGGGTGCCATCCTTTCTCGTGGACACCAGTTTAGCTAATTATAGTAAAAAAGAAACGTCAAGTATTATCTATAAAAATTTATTCAATGAAATCATCAACTCTCCTCCGTCAAACCCACAAATCTATACAGACGCCTCCAAAACCAACTCAGGCGTCGTGATTGCTATCATAAATGGCCATCAATCTATATCGTACAAACTACCAGACCATAACAGCATTTATACGGCGGAATACTGTGCACTCCTGGAAGGAGTCTACCTAGCCATTCAATTACCTGATTCAATCACTAACATTTGTACAGATTCACTCAGCGCTCTTAACAATCTTAAGTATAACTGGCACTCAAGCACCCTAGCAATTAAAATAAGCAATATCATTGTAAAAGCTAACAAGAACATACGGTTTATATGGACACCAGGTCATTGTGGAATAGATGGCAATGAAAAAGCCGACCAAGTAGCTCGTGAAGCAGGAAATAACCCTCTGACCGAGATACGCACATACTCCTCACTCATTGACATTCATAGGAATGTAAGCACCTTTTGTACAAATGTATGGGAATCCGAATGGCGGTGTACACCTAATAATAAACTAAGGGAAATAAAAAATACTACAGAATACTGGCCCAAACCTCATACATCAAATCGAAGTAGTTATCAACAGACTACGTATTGGGCACTCAAAGATGTCCCATGAATATCTTATGCGCAGAGAGGATCCTGCAATGTGCCAAATCTGCGGAGAACGTCTCACAGTCAAGCACCTCCTTGTCCAATGTCGTAAACCATATAGATACCAGAAAAAGATTAGAAATGCCTGATAATCTCTTTGAAGTCCTCAGCCCAACCCATAAAAACACCATCAAAATAATCTCATTTCTTAAACTAATCAATATGCACAACTCAATTTAATCAGCCATTGTATATTTGTATATTAAGGAAAAAAAAAAAATTTATATGTGAAACTAGTTCAAGAAATACTATTGTAAAATCATATATGTAACCTAATAATTTAATTTTGTTCAAGCTAATAACCTCAGAAGTTGAAGCTTAAAAAAAGAAAATAGTACAACTAATATCCTCTGATACTAAATTTAGCATTGAGGATACTAAACTCAATTTTCGGGGGATTAGTAATGACTCATTACTAATGAGGTAGATAAATTGTTTGGGTTTCACTGTATAGATAATTTTAGCATCTTCAATAATTACAAAAATTTTATTATTATTATACTTATTATTTTTTACTGTATGAAACTAAAGTACATTAAATATAATTAATCTAATAAATGAAAATAACTATAAATAATTTTTAGTTCGAAAAGGTAGTTAATGTATTGCAACTAAAATATGGAATAATTTTGTTTTAATTAATCATTCACATACAATAGGGAAAACAGATAAGAAAATAATAAAAAAAAAATTAATTTACACAATTTTTTTAAATTTTATATGATTATTTTATAAGTATTACATTTAATCAATGCTAATAAATAGCAGCATATTTAGAGGAATGAATACAAAATAAATGCTCTTTTCATTGGCAAAGCCATATTGTTATTAAATTTCCTCTCAATTAATTATGAATTTCTAAATACACCGCTGCTAATGAACAACTAGTTAAATGGATACTGTGGTAGAATAAACACAGAAAGACTATTTTGGCATAAATATGACTAGATTATAGAGTTAAATTAAGCTTAATAATTTATTATGTTGACAAATAAATATAAGTATAATTGAAATATTTTTACAATAATATTAAATTGAAAAGACTTAAAAAAAAAAAAAAAAATGAATTTTTAAATACTAACAGAGTATAATTTTTAGAATTTATAGTATTCTATAATTGAAAGTTATAATAACACTTTAATATAAAGTAATTCAAATAAAAATATTTTATAATAAAATATTATAACTATATAAACTAATGATTATTCAAAAATTTTATCTTACTTATGCTTCTTTTTCTTTATTAATGTTTTTTTTATCCATGTAGCTTGATGTTTATTAGCTTCAATTGCTGTTGTTAATTTTTTAATCTTAGTATTTTTTTGATCAGTTTCTGATGAAATTGTACTGTCACAATTATCCCTTAATCTTTTTACAGCATGACTGACTCGTTTACTCATGCCAACTGTTTGGTTACTTAAAGTAGGTAAAACTTTCATATATGAATCCAAAGTTTTTTGAGTCTATAATATTTAATATTATACATAAAATTTATTTTATAGTCAGTTAAACCTTTATGTAATGCACTTACTGTACGCTCTGTAATTTTTTTCAAAATTGGATCCATTGTAATTTTAGTCTTAGAAATACTCCAGTCAAAGTTGGTCAGAGCATATTGCATAAGTTTATCCATTTCTGGTAAGCTCCAGCTAAATTTTCCTTCACACTCATCAATAATTGGATTCATATAAGCATTAATAACAGCTTTATTTGGGAAATCTAAAGTAAAATATTAAATTATTAAATCAAATTATAGTTTTATATTTTTATGAAAAAAAAAAAAATATTCTTATATTTTATAGTATTCATTTTAATATTATTAAAATAAGTAATAATATTATAAATTAGCAATAAAATTAGCCATAATAAATACACATAATTTTCAAGTTAATACTTAAGTGCAATAATTGTCCAAAGAGAACGTCATATTCCTTTGATACTCTTTTTAAATACACTCAATTATATTACAGTTTCTAGTAAAAGTATAAAATTAATTTATAAGTGCATTAAAAAAATCAATATTTTTTTACCCTTTTCTATTGTAACAGATTTCAATTTTTTTACAAATGGAATATCATTGTAAATTTCTGATTTTGAATTGACAATTTCTTTTATTTTCAATAATTTATCCTCAATATTTTTGTATTTTGTTTTGGAATCAAAAAATGATAGCATTTCAATAGCTGTTACAGGTCCAACACCTTCGATTCCATTTGTATAATCACTACCCACCAAAAAAGCCATTTGTATGAAATTACTTTGCGATAAACCTGTAAATAAAAATTTAATCTTAGTTATTATTAATATTAAGCAAAGTGATTCCTTTAACATTAGCTACTTAATTTCTCTTAAAATAATAACAATGTTAAGAAAATTATTTCTTGTTATTTTACCAGAATTATATATTTTATAATATCAGTTATTAATTAATTCCTTATAAGAATGTTGACAGTATTTCTTTAAACGACAATATATATATTTAACTTATAAAATAAAAAATAATTTAATTAAGAAATGACTGGATGATAATAACTTTTACACAAGTATTTCGAATTTTATTAGCATTTTTATACCTAGGAGAGATGTAGACGAGAAATGTCTAATATTAGATAAATAACTATTTTCATACCGACACCTCACTTCCAGTCTATATTTTAAAGTAGTAATAACTTACAAACTGATTTATGATTTGAAAGTCGTTATCGACTAGTCATTTTTTTTATACACTAGCTAAATATGTATTTTGTAATTTAAAAATAAATTTAACACTCTTATTATATAAATGGAATTAATAAAAAGTAATTAATAACTGATATTATAATAAGATGATAAGATTATAAAATAATTTTCTTAACATAACTATTATAATTTAGAAGAAATCAAGTAGCTTGCGTTAAAAGAATCAATATGTATAATGTATTTTCATTAGTTACAACAGCTGTACCCAATTTTTGCTTGATATCAATACTTCTAAACTGTTTTACATATTTTTTATTGTCAAAAAAATCTTTAATAACAATATTGGCACCAAATAGCCAGATATCACTGTCATCTGTTATGGTTCCATCCGTATGTCCATTTTTTTCTAAATATGCACATTGAGCTTCAGCTTCCATTGGAGCTGTAATATATGGAATACCAAACATTCTCAACAGATTCTAAAAAAGAAAAAACAGAATGGAATGTATGGGGAGTTTAGAGCAAAAAGATGCAAGTTAATTTTTATTATTTTTCAGTAATGCCTTTTGAAATATTTTAATCCCACAAGAACTAATGCGAGTATGACTAATTAAAATGTAAATTTTGAAACTGCAAAAATATTGCTTTATAATATAACTTTATAATGTTTAATATTTAATGACTTTAACCTTCATTTCAGATGATATTTTTTGTGTTACAGATGAAGCTAAACGATCCGAAGCTTTTTGTAAGTTAGTAAGGTGATTTTCTTGTCTAACTAATGTATCCTAAAAACACGACACATAAAATAATAATCATTATTTATTCATAATTGCTATTTTTATTGTAGGTATATACTTTTATATCTGATAAATATTGTGTATCAAAAGATTGGTGATCTTTTTCTTTTTTTTGTGTCAATCTTTCTGAAGAATCATAAATGTTATTTGTCGGTGAGTTATCAATTAATTTTTTTATCTTGGATAATTCTAAAATTCTTTTTGGAAATTTCAATTTATCTATGAATTATTTGAATAACAATAAATAAAAAAAATGTATATATAAGCATTGAAAAGCTTATTTTAGTGACATTTCCAACAATTACAAACAAAACTAACCAGTACTAAATGAGTTTATTTTATTTAAAATATCCGGTTTCTCATTAAAGCTTATTACATTTTCAGTCGATATCGGTGTACATTCTTTTGAAGAAATAGTAGTATTTTTAGTAGTCTTGGGTAGATCTAGAGTGCTTTCTGGTGATTTAAATTTATCTGCAAATAAAAAAGTAATATGATAAATATTCAAAAGAAAAAGTTATGAAAATTAATTATTAATTTTTATGTTGACATGATTATAATTAAATAAATTACTGCTAATATTAACATTATACGAAAAAGTTACAAAGTTTAGTAGAACGGAATAAACTCTTGATACTTGCACTTTGAAAAACTGCATGTTTCAAATTAAATTATAGTCATCTATTAATAGTAAAATATATATATATATATGTTTATTTTACATAAAATATCATGATTTCCATTTGATTTTTCATAACATGCAGTTACTTTTTCTTTTACTGGGCTAGATAATTGAATTTTTAGCTCTTCTATTTCTGTTTTTCTTATTAACTCATCTAAAAAATTAAAAAATATGTCGTTTTAACTTAAGTTCATAACATTATTAGGGATCTGATTCTTCATACAGTTTCAATTAATAAATTATACCTATATTAACTGGTGAGTTCTCTTTAGAAAAATAAAAACTTTCATTAGGCGAAAGATGAGAAGTATTCTCAAAGAAAGAACTGCTATCAGATGAATCTGATTCTGAATTAAAGTTTAAAGATATTCCTGTTATATCTTGTACTGAACTACTAGGGCTCCAGGTTATGTTATTTTCACTAAAGTTTGATGTATTTTTACTTGTTGATGCAATCATATTGTCATTTATTATATTTTGAATCTTCTCACTTTTTTGGCTTTGTTTACCTGATTCAGTCATTAAATATAATAAAATTCAAATATTTATTGTAATAATTTTAATAATAAATGTTCTTACTTGAATTAAGAGCTATCCATGCTAAATAATCTTCATTAATTAGGTCATCAGTTAAATTTTCATCAGATTTTTCATCGTTTTTTAAAAACAGACACTCTGTAGAATGTTTATTGGATAAACATTTTGCATTAAATATATCTTTTACATCATCTGATGTATTAACTGTATTAGGATATTCAAAACTTGTTTTCTGTTTAGAAGATATTGATCTTGGAGATTCAAATTCATCTATTTATTTAAATAATAATTAACTAGAAAATTTTAAAAATGTACCTAAAAACTGTTACCTGATCTTTTTTTACTTGCTTTTTTATTTTCATTAAATGCTAACCAAGCAAGTCTATCTTCTTCAAGTGATTCATCACCTGCAAGGGCTTTGAATATATCATCATCTAAATAAAAATAATGGACATTATTTATATACATAAATTTTATATTTATGTATATAAATATTAATGTTTTTATTTAAACATTATTTTATATACATAAAAAATATAAATAAATAAATAAAACTTTAAATTACATTTAATCATATCTTTTAATGTTCTTACACTGTTATTTATTCAAACTATATGCAATTGACCAATCAATTAATTTTTTGAAAAATATTGTGAAAATTATTAGTTAAGAATTTAAAGCTTTTTAAAACTGCCATAAAAGTGAACTAAAAAATCTAAAAATTAGATATTTTTTGTCAATGAGAACTAAAAATGTAGAGATAATCTATGCCTGCTTATTTCAGTGACCAACTCAAGTTCCTTTGGGACTCTCATGAGATGGGGACTAACGCCTACAAACATTCAAAGCAGATAAGTCAAATCTAAATCTAACGCAAAGCTAAACTGAATAGTTTGATAACCCATCAAGTTCAAACTGCCACATGAAATGATAAAAGTTACAGTTTTGATATGGCTAATCTCTCTACAATCCACGTGAAAAGTCCAGATTTGGCCGATACAATTGGCGTGACTTGTGTAAATTGATATGCTTTGGACATTAATATTTATTTTATTTGACCATAGTCCATAACAAAACAGCGAGTAAAAAGACTTTACAAAGAAGTTATAGTATACCAAAATGGAGCCTATAATTATTTTTCATAGTAAATGTGGAAAAAGTCAGTAACTCATCACTGCATGATGCGCACTGTCTTGAATTCAAAACTTAGTCAAGGGAAGCTATATTTTTGAGTTTGATAATTGAAAAATCGACCTAAAAAAAAAAAAAAAAGAAACACCATTATTGATCTACACAATCACTTAATTGTCACTGTGCTTTGAGCACACCAAATGGCCGTATTCATTATCGTTTTAATATCATTATTTGCACTTAGATAAGGCAACAGTTGTCATGTTAAATGTATTATCAAATGGAATAACCACTAATAAAACAAAGTAACAGTCCAAAATTAAAATAAATATGCTAGAATAGGACTAGACCTAGTATCACATGTAGTGTGAACGTATGGGTTAACAAATTTTAAAAAATTGATGATTACTCAAAGAGCATTCTGCACATTAAAATAGTTTACTTTAATGTCTGTGAATTTTGAAAGTGAATAAGTTTTCAAATAACAAATGTTGTACTTAACAAAAAACATGATGCACAAGCATAAAAAATTTAATTGACTAAAAATATTTTTTTTAAAAACATGATAGGGTGGTAAAATGCATTTATGCCCTTTATTCTTTTTGTTATATTTTGAAATAAAATAAAATTTATATATTGATAGTTATTCATTTTTTTTTTTATAATTTTATGTTAAACAATGATATATTTTAGCTTCGATGCGAAGCTGAGAAGGTATTGGTTTTACTATGTGTGTTTTTTTTTTTTTTT